TGACAGGGGCCTCTCTAGACAACCTGTAGAGAGCCTTTGAATCAGGTGGGGTGGGGAAAGAGGCAGGAGTCTTTGGGGAAACGCAGGGGCTTGATCTTTCATCAGCTCCTTTAGTTCTTTTGGCTTCTTGTCCCACTGCTGCCTCCCTCACCTCCCAAATCCAGGACTGCGCTGGGACAAGGTGACCGCCCACCTTGTAGAGATCTCACCGGCTCAGGCCTGAGGTGGGTGTCTCTCACCTACTCACTTCGACTGGGTTGGAACGGGGAAGGGAGACTTAGGGTGGCCAGTAGCGGGCAAGGGAGACGAAGCAGCGTCCAAAACTTGAGTAGGTCCTGGAGTACACCCGCCTTCCCTCTCTTCCCACCAGGTTAGCCCCCCTTTCAGTTGTCTGACCCTTGTGTTGGTAGCCCCTCCTCTCCCACCCCAGACCCCCTTCCCTGTCTCTTCGCGTGGTAGCGGGTTAGCGTTTCAGTGTTCTTAACTCCAATCTGCTTGTTCATTGTACAATGTGCTTCTTTTAAGGCCCCATTTTTGTAACTTGAGTGTGTCATTCATCTGAACAACAAACATCAAAAAATAAAAAATTAAAAACTGTACAGAAAGAAATGATGCCTGCTCTCCTTTGGTCTCCGAACTCTCTTCTGGGAAAGATGGTGAGGAAATCAGGGTGTGGGTAGGGATGTGTGAGATGGGGAGGGGAAGTTTTACTTCTGTTCAATAATAAGTGTTTTGAAGGCCTGAATAATTTTTTTTTTTTACCAATAAGAACACTAAGTCTTGAACTCAGGATGAAATTCGGATTCCTAAACTCAGGTCTGAGTTTTGCCGTTTCAGGTGATCTTCGTTGTGTGAGTTTTACGCTTCTCATCTGTACAACAGGGGCAATACCTACCTCACGGGGTTGAGGGAAATGAAATACTTTAAGGAAAGTGTTTAGTTTTTTGTTTTTGTTTTGGTACCGGGAATCGAACTCAGGGCCTCGTGCTTACCAGGCAGGCACTGTGCCCCTGAGCTATCTTCCTTGCCCAAGGAAAGTGTTTAGGATGGAATCATTTCCAGTACACGGTCTTCAATAAATGACACTGCGGGAAGACCAGGAACCAGCGAGTACGTTCCCACCTCCATCCTCGGACGCTTCCTCATAGAACTAAAAAGACCCTTTAAAACCAGGCGATTTTGAGACTGTCTAGTGATACAATATAAGCACTGCCACCCGCTTCTTCTTAGAGGTACATCAACTAGTACTCAAATTATTGTGCCCATCCTGAATAGGATCATTGACAGGAATGACAACAGGCCAGGTCAGACTCCTACGTCACCACTGAAAATCAGAAATGGTCTTAAGAGTCTGAGAAAGCCACTGGGTTTCTTTGCTACTGTCCCATCCTTTTGGGATCTAGCAAATCCAAGTGAAAGCTTGAAGGACAGAGGAGCAGGAAGAGTTGGAGGAGGGGTTTGATAGCTTAGTCTGATAAAAAATATCAGTACTGCATCATTTTGGCTCAAAATAGGATCATAATTTTTGTGTCTGCCAGGCAGCTTGACCAACTGATGGTGCATGCGTGACTGTCCCCTTGGGTGTCTTGTGTCACTGGTGGTACAAACGGATCTAATTACTTTTATTGGTCTTTTTACTAATCAATTAATAAAAAGCCACCCGAGGGGACAGTCATGCAGGTATCACTGGTGGCTAAAGCCAGCAGGAGCATGTTTAAAGGAAAAACAAGGACTAGGAGGATAGCTCAGTGGTAGAGTACTTGCCTAACATGTATATAAGACCCTAGGTTCCATCCCCAGTACAAAAAGAAAAAAAAGCACTTCATTTTCTAGAGACTAAGCAGCAGGAATGGAGCTTCAGAATAGGATGCCAAAGGTGCACTCCTATAATCCCAGCACTGTAGGAGGATCACAAATTTGAATCCAGCCTGGGCACTTTAATGATTGACAGCCTATCGCAAAAATACAAGCTGGGCATGTGTTTTATAATTCCAAAACTCAGGAGGCCAAGGTAGAAGGATCGCTGTGAGTTTTGGGCCACCCTGCATTATAGTGAGTTCAAGGTCAGCCTAAACTACATTATGAGATTGCGTTCAAAGACAAAAAAGAAACAAGAAACAAGAAAACAGAAAAAAAAAAAAATGAGTGAAAGTACAAAAGGGTTGGGGATGTCGCTCAGTGTGAATGCCCTGGGTTCAGTCTCCAGTACAAAAAAAAAAACAGAAAGAAAAGTACGGTGAGGAAGCTCTTTCCTTCCCGCCTCTAGTGTTCAGGGTGGTATAGTCAACCCTACAGACTAGCAGTGGTGAACCCATGGTGCATGCCATGGCCAGTTGTTTGTTATCATTCAAAGCTCTAAAAGGTTCACCATCACTGCTACAGAGCATCCCATGACAGGCAGATACCACACTTGAGAGTACCCTGGGAGTACCACTTGTCCTGAAGCCTCAACTACATATCCATCTGTAACTGGTGAATGTGTGCAATTCTTCTACACGCTCCATCTTCCACAAATACTCTTGGGACTCCTCTTATCAAAGCATACTGGAAGCAGGGCATGGTGCCACACACCTGTAATCCCAGCACCCTGGGAGGCTCAGACAAGAGAATCCTGAATTCCAGCCCAGCCTCAGCAGTTTAACGAGACCATCTCAAAATGGGGTGAGGCAGGGGATGGAGTTCATTGTGAAGACTCTGGCTTCAAGCCCCTAGTACTGCCAAAACAAACAACCTGAATAACCCCAAAACAAAAAATGTCCTGGACAGTAAAGGAGCAGTGTTCTATCCCATTAACTATTTTGCTTTCACAAATCCCATTCATACTTTGGAGTATACAAAATGCTGATTCCCAAGTTTCACCGTATATGCGCTTGCTGAATCCAAATCCCAGGGGAAATTGCCTAACACACATATTAAAGCTTGAGAACTTTTGCCTGTTCTGTTTGAACACCAGCATCCAACTGATTAGTGCTTTATTTAGAACAATGGTTCAACCATAATCCGTGAAGTTTCAGTAGGGTGACAAGGAGCAATGGATCCTCTGAATTTATAAATGTGTTTGCACACATAAACTTTCCTCAGGGGAGTCTAAGCTTTTATTATAGGCTCCAAAACAGAACAATGGAGGAAGGAGAGTTATTCCACTGTCATAGAGCTATTCTCTGCTGAAAGTACCTTTTATCTCGTGGCCAAACAGCACTGTAGTAGATAGCACCCTCCTCTATTGTCCTTTTTCTTGATCCTGATTTTTATCTGGTTTTGCGGAGATGAATTCTCCGATTGTACTAAGGACTTATTTAATGACTTTCAGAGTATTAGCTTTTTAAGAAGGGGCAGTTTAGGAATGAATTTTTTTCTAGGGATTAGGGGGATGGATTTGGCATGCTGGGCTACAACGGCTCAAGTCCTTCCTGCAGGGTATGTGGTTACTAAAGATGATGTCTGTGATCACATACCCTGGTGGGAAACTGCTCAATAGAGAACTAATCTTCATTAAGAGCTGTCAGAACACCTAGCATATCATTAAAATATGTTGTTTAAAAGTACAGAAGCAGTGGCGCTTGGAGAGTTGACTTCTTGTTCTGGTTCTACTGCCTGTGTGGCCTTGATAATTTTATTCCCTCTCTGATCTCTCTTCTCATTTAAGCAACAGATTAAAGCAGTGATTTTTCAAATGATGTCCTAGGGCTTCAGTCCCCACAGAGGACCAAAGACCTGAAGGAGGGGAAGAAGAGAAGGGTTATAGGGAAGCTTCGCGGGCAGGTCTAGGTCCTTCCGTTCCCTAAGTGTCCATATGAACAGCTTCCCTTTTACCTCTCATGTACTGGGATTCCAAAAGATTTCTTTCCAATAGAAAGATCTGAACAAATCTTGGGGAGTCTTAGAGGCCAAGACTAGCACAGCAACTGAGCACTCCCGTCAGCCGCATGTTCCCCGATCTTGCTTCTATTTCCCTTCCCCAACTATGTAAAAGAGGCAGTGAAGAAAAAAGCATAAGGACAGTTAACCCAAATGAAACAAGACTGAAATTTAAGCCCTACTTTGTCTGGGTTGAGCTGACCTTGGGCAAGTCACCTCAATGCTTCTTACTTCAGAAGCCTTCTCTGCAAAATGTTCTCTTCATAGAATAATGTATTATTCAACATAATCCAAGAAAATACCTGAGACATACTAGGCATTCAAACACTGTCTGGCCAGCCAGCCTAGCATTCCCTCTTCCCAACAAAAACCTACTGATGGCCGGGGATATAACTCAGCGACACACTGCCTGCCTGGCAAGCACAAGGTCCCAAGTCTAATTCCTAATACCAAAAAAAAAAAAGAAAAAAAATTTAAAAACCCCTACTGACTATGCCACAGTCCAACTCCAACTTGGTGGGGGTGGGGTAAGAGGTGCTTCAAGGCACCTCCTCGTGTTTCCTACCCCAGCTACACATTATTCTCCAACTCTGATGCTGGGTCTGGCCCAGGAGCTACCCTCTTCTGTTGCTCTGTCAGCCTGCAGGGATGCAATGAGAAAATTCAGATGGCCTGAGGGAACACAGCCCACATCAGGACTGAAGTGGAGGTACAAGGGTGATAAGAATCTCAGAAACACCGGGCATGGTGGTACATACCTCTAATGCCAGCAATCTGGAGGCTGAGGCAGGACTGTCAGCCTGAGCTGCATAGCAAGACCCTGTCTTAAGAACACCTCGGGATTTCTCCACATGTACCTGCTACATGTAATCAGCTCTAAGCTTTCCCATAGGGCTGCAAGGACCTCTAGTGGCAAGAGTGCCATATTGTCTCCATCTAGCACTAGAAAGAAGCCCCTCTGAGAGCCATGCCCAAGGACTCTGCTGCCTTCTGTTTAACCCAGCATGTGTTTACTTAGCTCCTATTACCTGCTAGGCCTTCTTCTGGGTGTCAGGACACAGCTACAAGAAGTCAGAACCAGTACCTGGTCCCAAGACTCCCCAACTCCACGCTCTAACGGGAGCTGACAAAAAAAAGACATAAATGTTCAACTTAGTCTTTATTGACTTCACTTTGCGGCCACCAGGTGGGGTGGGGGGCACCTTTAAGCATAACAAGGACCCCAGAGCACCCCCTTCTGAAAATAGAATAGATCCAATTTTAGAACTTACACGGCAGTAGGCAGGGAGGAGGAAGGGGCACAATATGTACAGAGGCTTACGGGGACATTAGAGGAGGGCCTTCGGCAACAGGGCACGGCTGCGGAAGCGCCGAACGGGACACTCAGCCACTGATCTGAACCCCGTCAGTCTCAGCCAGAGGGTAGATCTCAATGGCTTCCACCAAAGGCAGTGCTTCCACTGCAGTCTCCATCACAGCCAGGCCAACAGCTGCTTCTGCCTCTGCCAGCTGCTGCTGCACAGCTGCCTGATGCTGCTGCTGGTGGGTCTTGCGATGCTTCCAGAGGTTAGAGAAGGAACGGTAGCTCTTGCCACAGTCAGGGCAGGAGTAGGGCCGTTCACCAGTGTGGATCCGGCGATGTTCTGCCAGGCGCATGGAGATAGCAAAGGCCTTGCCACACACTTCACAGGCAAAGGGCCGCTCACCTGTGTGCAGACGCCGGTGGTCTTTCAGGTGAGTACTTTGACGGAAGGCCTTACCACAGTCTGGACACGGATATGGTCGCTCGCCTGTGTGGATGCGTCGGTGTACCTGCAACGATGTCTCTGTGCTAAAGAGCTTCTTGCACTCGCTGCACTCCAAGCCCCGGCGTCGAGCAGGAGCTGCAGGGGCTGTGGTGGCAGCACCTCCAGGGGCTGTTGGGGAGGCAGTGACTGGTGTGCGAGTGGCCCTCGGAGCCCTAGGAGCTGGGGGCTCCTTAGCCAGCACCTCTCCAGGGCCAGCAGCTGCATGCGCTGCCTCATGTGCCTGCAGCCGAGCGGCTGAGCCCACTTTCTTGCCACAGGTCCCACACTCAAAGCGCTGTGGGGCTTGGGCGGCAGCTGCTGCACAGCGGTGCTCTCGAAGCCGTAGTGAAGAGGGGAAGGCTGCTCCGCAAGACGGGCAGCGGTGAGGCTGGCGCCCAGCGTGAGCCACAAGCTGGTGCACCTCTAGTAGCCGGCGCAGCAAGAAGGAGCGTGGGCACTCACGACACTTGTAGGGGTACTCGCCTGTGTGGTGGTAGCGGTGCATGAGCAGGCGATAGGGACGATGAAAACGCACCCCGCATTCCTGGCAGCGGTAGGGGAAGTGCTGGGCATGCACCAGGCGGTGCTGCCTCAGTGTGGAGCTTTGTGTGAAAGCCTTGCCACAGTCCCCACACCGGTAGGGACGTTCCCCTGTGTGCGTGAGCCGGTGACGGGCGAGGTTGGCCGGTGAATTGAAAGGCTTGGAGCAGTCCGGGCAGGGAAAGGGGCGCTCCCCCGTGTGGGTACGTAGATGGTTACGCACATGAGACTTCTTCTTGAACATCTTGCCACAAATGCTGCATTTATGGCGCCTCTCCAGGCGGTGCACAAAGCGCTGGTGCCGGGTCAGCTGTAATGCCTTGCCAAATTCACGGCTGCACAGGAGGCAACGATAGGTGCCAGAGGCAGCAGGTTCTGCTGAGCTCTCCTCAGACATCGGGGGTTCGGGGGCCTCTGGCTCTCCAGTCTCTGCTGGCGCTGGCTCAGGAAAACTGATGACAGGCTCCTCTGGTGGGACTGGTGTCGTAGGCAGAGGGACACCCCCTGCTCCATGGGTACGCCGGTGATAAAGAAACTTGGTGAGGTTTACAAAGGTCTTTCCACATGGACATGAATGCAAAGGATTTGGGGTATGGGCTCGTCGGTGGGCCAGGAGGAGAGCCTCTGTACCAAAGGCCAGACCACAGTCTACACACAGGAAGTGGGACTCACTACTGTGGTCTCCAAGGTGCTGGTCCAGACTAGAAGGGCTGGGAAAGACACGACTGCACAAGGGGCACTTAAAGACACCCTCTCGGTGACTCCGCAGGTGCTGCTGAAGCTGGTGGGGTGAGAGAAAGAGCTGGTCACAGGCCGAGCAAAAGAGTTCCTGGGCGGCTGTCCCGCCTGGCTCTCCACTGTTGTTCCTCCGTGGCCTGCGTCCACGGCGATCTCTTCCGATGGCTTCACCATTGCGCAGCTCATAACTGTGGTCAGAGGCTGGCATAGGGTCAGGCTGAGACACAGGTACCTCTACAGGCGATGGAGTGAGGGTCTCTGGCTGTAAGGCAGGCTCCTCAGATTCTGGGGCAGGAGCAGGAAAGTGGGTGGCCTGATGCTCCAGGAAGTCAGCTGGCAGCTGGAAGAGCTGGGAACACTCAGAGCATTTATAGAGAAGCAGCTCCACCTCAGTCACTACCTCAGTGGTGGTGGCAGCTGCAGATGGGATAGCTGCCCCTTCCCCACCCTCTTCTGCCTTTCGGTAAGAGTGCTCCACAGCCACACGAGCCTGACCAACAGGGGGACCTAGGACAACTGGAGACCCCAAGACCACTGGGGTAGGAGCCTTGGTAGGTGTGGTTCGGAGGTGGGTCTGCCGGTGGCTCAGCCAGAGTTCCTGGCTAGCAAACAGAGCCTTGCAATCCACACATTCATAGTGGATGGTGCTGGAGCTCAGGGAAGGTACCTTGGGTGGCGGCTCAGCTGGCACTGCCTCCTGGGGTGCCATCATCTTCAGGTGCAGCTCCTGGTGCTCCAGAAGCTGGCTGGGTGACATCAGCAGCTGCCCACACTCTAGGCACTGGTACTGACTCTCCTGTACTAAAGTCTGATACAGGCCTGTGCCTGAAGCTGCCTCTGTGGCGACAGTGACACCAGGTTCAGCCACACCCACTAGCTCAAAGTGCTGCTGGGGCACATGGGAGTTCTGGTGCACGAGCACCTCCTCCAGGGATCCATACAGCTGATTGCACTCAGAGCAGACATAACGATGCTCAATGTACAGGACCGTCTCTTCTGATTCTTCAGTCATGGCAGCATCAAGGCCCTCACCTATAAAAGGGTACAACAGGGACAAATCAGTCCTTCCAAGAGGCCGTTCTTTCTCCTACCTTCCAATACCTTATATATGCTCCCCCTAAATTTCTTCCTTCAATTTCTTTCCACTGCAACTCCTCACCCTAACAATCCCTTGTTCCTTTAACAAAAATATCAAACGTGAAATCTTCCTCATAGTCCCTCTACCCCGATCTCACCTCAGTCAACTCATATCAAACTCTACCCACCAGACCCTTACAAACTGTCCAGCTGGGCATGGTGGTGCATACCTATAATCCTAGCACTCAGGAGACTGAGGCAGGAGGATCAGTAAGTTTGAGGCCAGCCTGTGTTACATAATGAGTTCAAGGCCAGCCTGGATTACAAAGTGAAACCCTGTCTCAAAAAACAGAACAACAACCCCAAATTGTCCAATCCCCTCATCTCCCGTACCTCACAGTACATCCCCAATGTCCTGCCTGGTGCAAAGGAACTGTCTCCTCCACTAAGATCTCCTTCCATAGACTCCTTACTAACTCACACTATCTTCCTCATTCTCTCACCACCGTGCGCAAGAGAATCCTCACCTAGGCCCCTGCCCCATTCCTCCCAGCCACACACCTCCCATGGCCTTTGGGGTTTTCTTTGAGGTTCTAAACTTATTTCTACACCCAGCTCACTTCATCTGCACCAATGTCATGCCACTTCACTTTTTTGTTGTTGCTGTTGTTTTTCTGAGACAAGATCTTTGTAGTCCAAGCTGGCTCCAAACTTACTTTAATACTCCTGTCGAAGCCTCTCAAGTGCTGGGATTACAGGCATTCACAATCCCTGCAAACCAATCCCCCATATCAAACCAGCCCTTCCCCTAACCAAGTTTTCTCCCATCGGTCTAACCCACCTCCATGTCCAGACTTTTTTCATCTTAACCACTTCCTAAGGATACACAGATCTGCTTCTTGAAATTACTTAACTTTCTCAAGAAATCAAATGTCTTTCCCATACCCAGAATATTCAGACCCATCTTCACAAAAGCCTAATCCTTCTTTCATACCTAGACTTTTCCCATAACCCTATGACAAGGTATCCTGACAGTCTTCATTTAATCACCACTTCTCTGTACCAAGACCAAATCTACAATCCTTCTGGGAACCTTTACATTGATTTAAATCCTTCTTTTTTTCTTCTTCTTTTTTTTCCTCTTTAATTTTTGAGACAAGTTCTTGCTATGTAGTTGAGGCTGTCCTTGAACTCACTATACGTAGCCCAGGCTGGCTTTAGTAATCCTCCTGCTTCAGTGTCCCAAACGCTGGGATTACAGGCATGTGCCACCACGCCCAGCTATTAAATCTCTCTTTGCCATACACACCCATTCTAACTCATGTGGGAATGCCCAACTCTCCTTTACACATCAACATAAGACCCTCTGCTTTGGGTGTACACCCATACGAACCCTAACTCTTTCCAGGGATCCCCAGAGCCCCACTCCATAAACAAAAAACAAAAAACCCCCACTTCTTTGCAAAAAAAATCCCCACACATTAACTCTAGGAATATCCAGACCACTTTTTACAATTTATTTTTCCTTTTTTTTTTTTTCTTTTTGAGACAGGGTCTCACTATGCAGTTCAGGCTTACCTTGAGCTCACTTTGTAGCCCAGGCTGGTCTCCAACTCACAATGATCCTCCTGCCTCAGCCTCCCGAGTGCTGGGATTACAGGCGTGCACCGCCACACCCAGCTTTCTTTACAATGACTTAAAACTCCCTTCTCATTGCCCAGAATCCCTTCAAGGATACCCAGACTCCCCACAATTCATCTCATACACAACCCCTACCATCATCCTAACCTAGTACAGATTCCTCCCCAAATCTCTCCTGACTCCTTATTAATGCAGCACCTCTTTCGCATCCAGGAATGCCCAAACCATACCTCTCTCATCAGCACAGATCTCCCTCGGACACCCAAATCCCATCCTTATCTTGGCCTAGTTACCTGTACTTTAAAACAACCACCAACCACCTCCCCTAGTTCATTTGAGAGCCACAGCAACGCTCCTTCCGCATGAACACTCTTTTCCCTTTCTAGAGAGCGCCTGCTCGACTCTTGCGAAGGTTACCCGAGCCCACCCCGCTACACCTTTGTCTAACGCCTCTTCACATTAACTTAACCCCACGCTCCACACCCGGACCTCGCCCCTTTAATCTCCCTTTAGAGGATATCTGTTTCCTGACACCTTTTCAAACCAAGACCCCTTTCACTGCCCTAATTCTCTCCAGGCATAACTAGTTCCCCTCCACCCCGAACCCCCTTGCACCCTGACCGTCCCCCCGTTCTCCCGCCCGACCCCCAGGAGCCCTCTAGGCGCCCCTCTCAGTCCTGGACCAGTCCCGCTACCCAAGCCCTTCGCCCCATACCCCACGGCGCCTACGAGCCTCCTCCCGGCCGCTCCAAGGCCTCCCTTCCCGTCCAGCCCCAACCCCGTTTTGCAGCCCGAGGCCAGCGCCCCTCAGCCCTGCCCTCCATCCCAGCCCGCTTCCCACCCTCCGCCCCGGCCCGGCCCCGACCGGCCCGCGCGCCCCGCGGCAGTTGGTGCCGCTCCGCCCTCGCCGCCCGGCGCGCGTCCCCTCGGGCCCTCACTGCGCAAGCCGAGACCGGGGCAGGCCCGGGCGGTGGTGGGGGGACAGAGCTGGTCCTCCGCGGGCCGGCCAGAACTCACCCGCCTCAGCTGTCTCGAACACTTTAGAACCGGGCCGCGGCTATCCTCACACAGACACCTTCACACCGCGTCCTCTCTAGCTCCCGCCGTCTCCTCTCGCCTGCTCCACAGCCTAGCTCTCACCCCCGGCAGCCCTCAGCAACGCCCCTCCCACCTTCCTCCTCGGCCGCCGCACAGACGGCAAAACGCGCCCAATCACAGCCCATCTGGCACCTGCTGTTCGGCCAATCGACGGTCACGTCTCTGAGGTGTGGGCCAATAGTGCAGAGGGTAGGGCTCTCCCTCGGCCCCCCCACCAATCCTCTAGCGACATTCTTTCACGGGCCAGCCCGCAGGTTGATAGTGCCCGCCTCTTTAACCTGGAGGATGCTCCTCCTCCACCCTTTCTTCGACTCCGCCTCTGACGGCTCGAGGAGCGCTGAGCGGAGGGCAGCGCGATGACGTCAGGAGGCGGAACGAGGCTGCGGGCGCCATCTTGGGGGCGCCAAGGTGGAGTTGGCATCGTGGCTTGGGGAAAGTGCTGGCAACTGAGGCGTGCATTACCCCCACAGCAGGGGCAGGGGCATCTAAGTGCTGGAACCCCCTGAGGGCCAAGGGGAGAAAGTGAAACACCACCCAGAGTGAAAGGCTGGGGGGACCCGGGCATCAATCACATGAAGGCAGTAAAAACTTGGAAACCGAGATACCAGACTGATCTTGTTAAGAGGGGAAAAGACTAGAAGGAAGAGGAATGAAACAAGGGACTGGGGCACTGGGAGGGGTTGGATACACAGTGTTAGCAAGTTGAGGACTCGGAGAACTAGGATAAACCTGAAGGATACGGGAGGAGATGGGAAATGAAGAAAAAGGAAAGGCAGGGCCAGGAAGTTTCGTTCAAAGAAACGCGGGTAAAGGACCTGAGAACAATCTTTTTTTTTTTTTTGCCTTTTTGAGGCAGAGTCTCGCTATGCAGTTCAGGCTGGCCTTGAGTTCACTTTGTAGCTCAGGCTGATCTCGAGCTCGCGATGATCCTCCTGTCTCAGCCTCCCAAGTGCTGGGATTACGTCACCATGCCCGGCTCTGAGAGCAATCTCGATGACAGCCTGAGGAAAGTGATTCCTAGCAGTAGCAGACAGACTGTTTTGCTTCCCATCACCTGTCAGGGTGACTGACCTTGCATAGCTGAGGGAGGATGGGGCCATGTGTATCCAGGGGACTCTGGCCCAGGACCATTGCAAGTGTTTTCTGAGAGGCCTGGGAGTGTGGCTGAGTAGAAGTGCGGAGCACTCGCCTATGCTGCACAAGGCCCTGGTTTAGGTCCCCAAACCAAAGCCATCACCGCTACATTTTCAGAGAGCTGCTCTGTGCGTCCAAGGATAGGGGAGTTGCAAGAAATGCACTTGATTAGACTTCTCCCTACCCCCTCTCATTTCTCAGATGAGGAAACTTTCAATTGTTTACCCATCTGAGGCCAAAGAGGTACTAGGAAGTCACATACATTAAGATCTAGGCTTGACTTTTCAGTCACTTTTGCTTTGTCGTCTTGTTACTTTCTAACTGGGTGTCTTAGTTTTCCCCTAAACTCTTTAAGATGACTCGTGTGGCTATACCAGGCTGCCTGGACTGGAGTCCTGGTCCTGTCACTTCCTAGCTGCGACCTTGAGCAAAGGAACTCTCCTTTGCCTTGGTTTCCTCATCTAAAAAATGGGGGTAAAATAATAGCCTCTGTCTCAAAGGGTGGTTGTGAGACATGGAGCAAAATCTACTTATTTTTATTAGAATCTCAAGGAGCCTAATATTAATAGCTGACATCTCCTGGGCATGTAGTGATGTGCTAGAAATTATGCTTAGTGCTTTCTATGCATTATTTAGTTTAATCCTCTCAACAACCCTCTGAGGGAAAAACTATTATCCTGAGTTTACAAAGAAATTGAGGCCCAAAGAAGTTAAGTAACTTGTCCAAGTTCCTATAATTAGGAAGAGATAGAGCCAGAATTCCAACCCAGAAGTTGATCCCACCCAGGGTCTGTACTCTTGGCCCCTGGGCTCCATTGCCTGGCAGGCAGGATGGTCTCTAAGTTACTTGCTGAATGGATACAATGGCAAGCAGAGCAAGAAATTGGTGGAAATTAAAGCTAGGGCCTTGCCTGCGCTCCAGCAGGCTGGGTTTGTCCTTAGGGCAATGACACTGGGTATGGGAGCCAAAGAAGAGCAAATTGGGCTCAGCCTTGGATGGCTCTGTGCAGTTGGGCAGAGTTTTGCTCCTGTTGAGGCCTCTTTTTCCCCACTTGAAAAATCTGAGGGACAAGTTTAGCTTCTCAGGGTTCTTTCTAGACTAGAACCTTCTGCTTGGACTTCCCAATTTATTTGAGTCTGTGAGATCTTTTCAGATGATACAGGAATTGAAAAGTGAGAAAAGTGAGGCCTGGTCAGATGTATCATAGATGGTAGTGGACCAGGACTTCTGGAATAGGTTGCATTTGGAGAAAATAGGTGTTCTATGTTAGGGTCCCTGCGTAAGCAAAGGCCTAGAGTCGGGCATAAGTCTAGGCCTCAGGCCTGGCTGGAGCTGTAGGAGGTGCCAGGAGGCTGTAGGTGATGCTCAAGGAGGGTGAGGCAGTGTGCGCAAAGTTAGTGGTCAGATATATGTGTCACATGTATGATAGGGACGGCCCACCTGCCAGCTGCAGAGAGGTCCCCATGCCAGGCCTGTGTGTGGTCTGAGTTGCTGTGTGCCAGGTGTGTATGCAGGGCATGTGGTCACGTGCGCTGGGGGCTGCACGTGAGTGTGTCAGTGTCTCCTCCCCATCACGAGCATGGGGGTGGTGGTGAGTCACGGGCTCAGCCTTCAGCACCAACTGTCATGTTCCTTTCCCCCAAACTTCACCCCCCACCCAGCCGCGCACCACCCACCCCCACTCGGAGATCTGTGTCGAGATTCTCTCTCCATCCCCCTGCCCTGCTCCTCTCCTCAGAGAGGCAGCAGAACGTTTCCTGGGAGGAAGAGTTTCCAGCGTTGGCTGTTCCCTCCAGGTCCCTGCCCTGACATTGTCCCCCTTTCCCGTGGCCTCTCTGCTCCAGTTACTGGAGAATGGAGCCCTCTTCTCACACATCTGTGTGTCCTAAGGCTTTCTCTATGCAATATGGAGAATTCCCGTATGTGCCACCCTTCACCCCTATGGGTGCTATTTCTATTTCTGGGTGCTCTTCCCTCATCTCCATGGGCCAGCCACTCCTGCCTCGGTGGGTCTCTGCGTCTGTGAGCTACATCTTGTCTCTGTGGGGCCCCAGGTGTCCTAGGGTCTCCCTTCACCCTGTGTCTGTGGCCGCCTCCAGCTCGCTTGGCCCTCGCTCCCAGCCTCCCTGCTCTGCCCTCTTGTTGCTCTTCCGTGGACTGCTCCCCATGCCAGGCAGTGCGTTCTGTCTGAGGGCCTCTCTTTGTGTCTGGCCCATCCCCATCCTCAGGAGCCTCTCTTCGTCCATAAGCTGCCCCTTGTCTCTGAGGTCTCTTTGCTTGTCTCTGTGGGCTGCTCCCTTGTCCCCGTGGGCTTCTCTTATCCCTGGGCTTTTCCTGTCCTTGTCCTTGTGGGGTTTGTGGGGCTTGGCCCACCTCTCTGGGTCTTGATGGCTGTCTTTCTATTTCTCTGCATTTTTCTTCATGTCTGTAACCCTCTCTCCCCATCTCCACGGCCTTGTCCCTGGGTATCCTCACTGCCTCTCTCTCCCTGGGCTCCTGTGCCCAGGGCTGCCTGGGCAGGGCAGTGGCATGGTGTGGTGGAGGGGGTGGCCCGGGGTGGGCCCTCCATCCAATGCAGCTCCTTCCTCTCATCAGCATTCTCCTCGCGCCCCCCCTCCAGCCCCTACCAACCGACCAATACGGGCTCCCCCTCCCCCGACTCCCCTCCCTCCTCGCTCTCTGCTCCCCGCCTGCCTCCCTCCCTTCCTCCCGCCTGCCCTCCTCCCTGCCTCCCTCCCTCTACCACCCCCCCCAGCGCGCTCCAGGACCCAGCGCGGGCGGCGGGCGGCGGGCGGCAGGCAGCGGCCTCTGAAGGGAGAAGGAGCGGTGGTGGCAGCGGTGGCGGCGGCCGGCAGCGGGCAGAGAGGCCCAGCTGGGGACACGGAGCCGGCGGCGGCTGCTCACAGGGGACGGGAGTCCGTGGCCCGGCCCCTGCTCCAAGGCCCTGTGAGGGCCGCCCCTGGGACACCCCACCCTCCTCCGCCTTCCTCTTCCACCTGCTCCTCTCCATCTCCTCCCTCCCCCCTCCTCCTCTCCTCTCTCCACCTCGTCTGCCCCCTTCTCGGCCTCTGTGGGGCTGCCAGCACCCCATCCTCCCCATCCGCTCCACCGTCCGGCCTCTCCCTGTCCCCAGCATGCTCTTCCCTTTGGGGCTGAGGGCTTGAGGACTCCAGTCCCTAGCCTCGTCCAGGGCAGGGCTCAGGCTCTGGGGGGAGGGGGGGGACGGGGTGACCCCCTCCCCCCCAAGACACCCTCCCCTCCCCCACTTCTCCCGATGGCCAGCTTCCTTTTCTCCACCCAGGGCTCGCCCCCAGTGGCCCCCCCAGGCCGGCCTGGCTAGGGGAGGGGGCGGGGCCCTTTCCCGGGCCGGCTTCCCCCTCCCCCGGCTTTGCCTGTGCCCCCTCCCTTCCGTTTTCACCTTCCTCTCCTCCTTTCCTCCCTCCTTCCCCTCCATTTGCTCCTTCCCCCTCTCTTCTCTCCCCTTCTCTCCTCCATTTTCTCCTTTCCCCTTCCTCCCCTCCCGGCCCGCCCTCTCCTTTTCCACCTGTCCTTCCTCCCGGCTCCTCAGGAGCCACCGTTTTGGATTAGTTGGGGGCCGCTGCCGGCGGCGGGGGAGAGGGCCGGTGGACCGCCCTCTCCCCCTGCCCCAGCCACACCATCACCCAGAGCCTGAGCATCTCCGCTGTCGTTCCTCGGGCCTCGAGGGAGCCCAGCCCTCCGTCCCACCAGGATCCGTGAGTGTCTGCAGGGCGGGGATCGGGCTGGGTCCTGGGTCCTGGGCCCTGGGTCCTGGGTCCTGGGTCCTGGAAGGCTGGGCTCACTGCCCGCCTGGCAGGTCCCTGTGTTCCCTGTTCCCCAGATGGCAGGAACCTCCCCGACTGGGGGCCTGCTTGGTGCCCTCCACCTCCCCAGCCCCCAGTCACCTCGACCTTTTCTCACCTCTTCTTCTGAGCGCACAGTTCACACCTGGCCCTCTCCCTCAGTTCCTGGGTCTTGGGGCGACCGGCTCTTACTGGTGCGTCCCTTCTCTCGGCTCCTGGCTGGTCCCTACCCCTGCTTTCTCTGAGCCCTGGGTCGCAGTCCCAGACCAGCTGCTGTTTGTTCTCACTCTCTGCTTCAGTCTCTCAGCCAGTCTCCCTCTCTGCCTCTCCCTCTGTGCCTGCCACAGGCTCTGTCCCCATCCCATCCCGCCTCTGTCTCCTGGAACTGTCTTCTTTCTGCTTTGGAGTGTCCATCCCATGTGTCTCCTGGCCCTCTCTTTACCCCTGCCCAGCTTCTCTCTTCTTTGCTGTTATCCCAGCCCTGTCCCTGTGTGTCTGTCAGTTTCTTTCTCTGTTAAACTCTCAGCCATCTCTGCTTGAGGTGCCCATGCCCAGACTAGCCACCTTTCTACTTCTCTTTTTCTGTTCTTTGCTGCTTCTCTTCCCAGCTCAGGCTCAGAGCCTGAGAGCTGGAGGGGCTGTCTTTTGACTCACTTTTCAGCTTCCCTCGCCTTGACCCACCCTGAGTCCCCAACCCCTTCCTCACTCTCTAGCTGTACCCCTCCATTCCTGGTGGTCTTGCTCTTCCCCCTTCCACCCTGTCTCCCTGCTTCCGCATTACCCTGTGTGGCCTTTCTGCTCCCATCCCTCCCCACACCCCGGGGCTTGCAGGCTCTTGGATCTTTTGGACCTTGGCAAGCATCCCTGAGTGTCTGCCGGGTGCTTACACTTCTGCGTGGGCTGCCTGTATCCCCCCGGCACATTCACTCTTTCTCCCTGCCTCAGTTTCCCTCCTGAGTTCCTTGCTCCTCTCCTCCAGTGCGTGAGCCCATCTCTCTGGCCGTGGGCTTCTGCTTCATGCTCTTGCGCTCCTGCTTCTGCCCCTCTTGGCCCTCCCTCTTCTTTAGGCTGCTGTGCAGCTCCGGCATTCATTCTTATACCCCGTCCATCTTTCTCAGGTTAGTCTTCGTTTCAGAGTTTTGCTCTTTCTCTCCTTGCGGCTCTTGTACTTGCTGTTATTTGTCATTCGGCGGGGGGCCCTCTTCCTCACCCTATTTGCCTCCTCATCTTTGCTGTATCTCTCCTTTGGTGACTTGTCCCCCGACCCCCGTAGGTCCCCTACCTCGGCCTGTTCTCTCTTTGGTTGACTGTGTTTATCTGGCTGGGCCTGGATCTGTGGTCTGTGAGTCCCAGGCCTGCCTAGAGCCCTTGTTCCCCTCTCTCACATCCTCTGTCTGCTCTCTGCCTCCTTATGTCTCACTGCTAGGGTGTGTTTGTCTGTCCCATTCAGCCCCGTGACCACTTTGGTTTATCTGTCTTTTAATGCATGCCTTCCCGGACCTCTGTATCCATTTGCTGCACCCAGGCCTGCACTCTTTCTGTCTTGGTTCCACCTGTGCTTGCCACCTGTGGGTCCCTGCCCTTCTGTTTCCTTTCTGTGAGTCTTTCTGTTTCTATTCTCCGCTGCCCATTTGCCCCAGGTATCCCAGGATGACCCACCTCCCTCCAGTCCTCTCCTAGGCCTTTTCTCCACCCTTCCCACTAGAGCTCTCTCTCTACCTCTGCCAGTGTTGCTTGCTCCTCCACCGTTGACAAGCCTCCACCTTAAATATAATTTACAGTCTGCAGTCACCAGCCTGTCCAGCGTGCCCTCCTGCCCCCCAGCCTCTCCTTTTCAGAGACTAAGAGAGCAATGACTTGCTCAAGGTCACACAGTGAGGCGGGGGACAGAGGTGGGACGTATGGGATCTCCTGTTGACCTTACCTCGGCTTTCCTGCCCATTTGAGATGATCTGAGGTATCAACTTGCACCTTTGTCTATTCCTAGCGGTTCTCATTCTGACATCTCACAAGCCTAATTCCTCTTTCTGTGGGGACTGGGTGGAGTGTAGGAAGACATGAGGCTCACCTCAGAGCATTCTGGGCCCTACAACAGCTCTCTTCATGGAAACTCAGGTATTCCTTCTCTGGGGCATACATAGCCCTCTGCCAAGGAGAACTGCACACACATGTGGTCAAACTCACCCTGCCCAGTGATTACCCTGTAGGAGGCCAGGTGCACCTGGAGCAGTCTCCCCACCCTAGCAATCCTGCACTTCCCGGGGTGGAGAGCTGTGCAAAGGTGCGCTGTCTCTTTTGTTCAGCCCCCTAGAGCAGGGTAGGGGCAGTGGGCTGGCATGCACTTCTGGCAGGCAGCTCACTTCCAGCCGTACCCACTTTCTTCTTGCTGTCCTTTGTTGCATCCTGAGTTAGTATCTCTCCTTGGTCTCTGTCTTCATCTTCTGTGCTGTGGTGTCCCCTGGGTCAGGCTGCCTTGCTGTCTTCCTCTCCCTGCTTCTACCCTTTATTTATCTCCACATCTCCTCACCTTCTGCCACTTGCGTCTTTCTCTCTCCTAGTCTCATTCCCAGCTCCCTGCAGCTCTTCTGTCTCTCTCCATTTTTATCTACATTTTCCTGTTCCGTGATATATCTGCCTGTTTTTCCTTTCTTCTTTTCTACTTCTTTCCCCTCTCTAAATCTCTCTTTTATATTCTGTTACTTCAGTTCTCTTCATTTTACTTTGTCATTTTACTTTACTTCATTGCTACTTTGGGTCCATTCATCTGCATGTCTTTCTCTCCCTTTTTTTCTTTTTCCATCTCTTCCTCTGTCTCTTAAGTTTTTTAACTCCCAGATACTCTTCCACCCCATCCCCCCAGACCCTGGATGTCCAGGCTTCTCTCCCCATGGGATTATGGGAGCTAGGGACGTCAGGAAGGTGGCAAGTGAGGCTTGGGATGGGGTTGCCTAGCAACCACTGCATCCTCTTCAGCCGGTTTCTGTTGCCTAGTAACGGCTGCCTGCCCAGATACAGGGGTGGGACTGGGTGGGGACAGGAGTGTGTGGGGTGTGTGATACTTCCTGGTTTCCTACTGGGGTAAGGCTGGTTCCTGGAACCAGTCCCACCTGAAATCTCTAGTTACCTCGCCCCTGCTTAGATCACTGTGCACATCCTGTAGCAGTGCCTGTCCCATCAGATCTGAGTGCTGTGAGCTCCTCTCTAGTACCCTTCTTAGCCTGCGCTTTGCTCCCAGTAGTGCCCTAGTACTATTGAGCGTGGAGTCAGATCAAGTCCTTTGGAGCTGTAAATTCCTTACCAGCAATGTCCTGGGGGCTGTGCTTGCCACCCCATCCAGCAGTCCTCTTAAGGGACTCTGTCCCCCATATCAGCGATCTCCACTTGGGTCGGGGGTGTCCCTGCAGGTGGCGAGTGGGGGCCGCGGCAGGTGCGTCCCCATGAGGAGGGGAGGAAGATGCCGGCTGAGCTGCTGCTGCTGCTGATTGTTGCCTTTGCCAGCCCCAGCTGCCAGGTGCTCTCATCACTGCGCATGGGTGAGGCCCTCCAGCACCCCGGGCTCCACAGAGACCCTCCCACCAGGCCCTGGGACTCCTCTTTGGGAACCCAGGCATGCCAGTCCCCCAGGACCCAGGATTCCAGGCCTCAGGTCTCAGCTTTCCTCAGCAACAAGGAGACCCACCCCCCGAGATCTTCCTAGCCTCAGACGCAGGAGTCCAGACCTTAACTGTAACTCTAGAGTCCAGGAGTCCCAGGACCCCAGACTCTCTTTCCTCAGGACCCAGGAGTCTGGTCCCCAACCCCTGTGTCCCCTCAGCTGCAATCCTGGATGACCAGACGGTGTGTGGCCGTGGTGAGCGACTGGCCCTGGCCCTCGCCCGGGAGCAGATCAACGGGATCATCGAGGTCCCAGCCAAGGCCCGAGTGGAAGTAGACATCTTTGAGCTGCAGCGGGACAGCCAGTACGAGACCACGGACACCAGTGAGCGGGGCCGCGGGGGCGTGGAGTGAGGCAGGACAGGCCGGGGCCCTCAGTCCATCACTCTGCCCCTGGCCTCCTCAGCTTGGCCTTGTCCTCTTCTGGCTCCTTCTTCCCCCTTCCTTCATGTCTGTCTCTGCCTTCTCCTTCCCAGAGGTGGATGCTGCTGGGCACAGGACCCAGGCCACGAAGCCGGGGGGCTCAGGGGCAGGTCAGTGAAGGCTAGACTGGAGCAGAGCTTTGGTGGGTGAGCACTATGTAGGAGGGTAATGTTCCCAGTATGCCCAGTGGTAACTGACCCACCACACAGGGGTGCAGAAGTGTTTATTGAATTCTGATGGACTGGATGAATATTAACATGGGCCAGGTGAACAGATGTGCCAGCTCATAGACCTTTGTGAAGTGCTGCCTTAAAATACGTTTTAGGGTTGGGGGTGTAGGTCAGTGGTAGAGTACCTGCTTAGCATGCATGTGGCTCTGGGTTCTTTCACCCCAAAAAACCCAAGCATGTTTTAGACAGGTTTCTTGCGGGCCTTATTAGAAGCTTTATTATATTTATGAATATTTCAAGTTACAAGAGGGAGAATGGGGCACAATGTTTCCCAGACTTTTTTTTTGGTGGCAGTACTGGGGATTATCCCGGACTTTTTTGACGGCTACAGAGGAGTACATTATCTGGGAGAAGAAGGGATAGTGAGGAGGCAGAAAGTGTTGCTGGCATGAGTCTGGGGCTGGAGGCCCTGGGGAAGAATCTGGAGCCAAGAAATGCAGTGTAGGGTTCAGGCCATCATGGATTCGGGGCCTGTTTGAGGGGATCGTGAGTGACGCCTGGGCTAGAGTGTGACAGGGCAGTGGGGAGGTAAGGCCGGGCAGCCTCCAGGCTGGCTGAGGGGCTGCAGTGCCAGGCTGTAAGATGCCACTTTGAGCCAAGGCCATAGGGCGGCGTCAGTGGGTTTGGACCAGGGAGCTCGGGAAGGTAAAGCCGGAGGCTGGATTGGGGTGATGGGCGAGCAGGCTGGTCGAGGTTGGAGAACAGGGACAGATGTGAAGAAATCTGTGGACCAAGAAGGGGTAGGACTTGATGACTCATGACAGTTAGAGAGCACAGAGGCCAGAATCACTTCCAGGCATCTGGTCTGTGTAAGTGGTGGGACCATCACCAACTTGGAAGTCACAGAAGGAACAAGTTTGGAAGAGGGCAGAACGCTTGAAAGAGACATTATGGCAGGGGGACTCAGTGATACCTCCGTTCATGAACTAATTCTCTCCACTGTTTTAGTCGCAAACTGAATTGGACAAGGATCCAGTCAAATTCAATGGTTAGGTTCAGTGTCGATCTTATCGGGGAAATTGATTTAGTTCTCGTCCAGTTCAGTTTGCATCGAGAATCATGGGAAGAATTAAGTTCGTGAACTGAGGTACTGCTGTACCTGCCCAGCATGTGCAAGGCCCTGAATTCAGTCCTCAATACCAAAAAAATACCCCCAAAACCAAAAAAACCCACATCATGAGATCATGTCACTAAGAGGCCTAGGTACTACTTTCAGGCATGGATGGATCTGAGTGCTCAAATGACATCCCAGGGTTGTTTCAGAAATGGCTGGATCCAGGTGTTCATGATATTCCTGCAGTGATATTCTAGGAAACATTGTCTTATCTGTGGGTCTTGCTTTCTTAGGAGTTGGCTTCATCTTCAGGAATATTCTTCTTAACTGGTGGCAAGATGGCCCGGCGGCTGAAAGGTCACATCCCACCAATTTTGCAAACCCAATAATAATTATAACAGAAGACATGGGGAGGGCTCTCTCGGGTCTGATTTGAGCCTGTACCCATCTCTGAACCAGTCACTGTGATTCTGTGATGGGCTAGACCTGAGCTGGGAGCTGATCAGTCCTGAGAAGCACATGGACCGAGGGACAGGGCAGGCCTCTTGGGAAAAGTCAGCGTTCTGCTGTGAGAACGAGCCCTGGGTGGGAATAAAACACCAGGTGCCCACCTCTTGAGCCTTGAGACACATGTGTTTGAGGGGGAGACAGGAGAAGAAGGAGCAGATAGATGCAACAGAAGGGTATGTTTGGAGCACAGAGGACCGTGGGGCTCTTGGCTGGGACTTCCAGGTAGAGGAGTGCCGGGTGCCTCATAGGTGGTGGCATGGCTGGAAATATTGAGAAAGATGAAGGCAGAGCATCTGGCCCTGGATTTACAGGTCAGAGGGAGGCCCCTGGTGCCGCTTGCTCTTTGTGCTTCGCCTTGTTTCCCCTGGTGTGACTTGTCCCTCTGTGGCTACGTCCCCCCTATCTCTCTGTCATCTTCCTCCTTCTTTTATACACTGCATTGAGGAGGGTCAGGCTTTGGCCTCTGGATCTGGGTCGGTGGAGAAGGATCAGGCAGCTCCGAGTGTCTGATCCTTATTTGGACCAGGGTGGCCCTGGGGTGGGTGGGGCAGGGCGTAGATGGAGGGTCTCTAATTCTGTGGTCTCTTCTCTGCCCCTTGCAGTGTGTCAGATCCTCCCCAAGGGGGTCGTGTCGGTCCTGGGGCCCTCCTCCAGCCCAGCATCTGCCTCTACCGTGAGCCATATCTGTGGGGAGAAGGAGGTGAGGCAGGGGCGTGGGGGGCAGTGAGGGAGCCATCGCTGGGAGGCCAGGCCAGGGAGCAGCAGGATGCGAGCACAAGTTCCCTCTCTGTCCAGATCCCCCACATCAAGGTGGGTCCTGAGGAGACACCCCGTCTTCAGTACCTTCGCTTCGCGTCTGTCAGCCTGTACCCCAGTAATGAGGATGTCAGCCTGGCAGTCTCCCGAATCCTCAAGTCCTTCAACTACCCCTCGGCCAGCCTCATCTGTGCCAAGGCTGAGTGTGAGGGAGGATAACTCGATGTTTTGTTTTCGATTCCTCCAAACACCCCTTCCTGACGGACGCACGCAGTCACTCATTGCCCTCCGGCTAGACGCCCCCCTGACTTGGGCATGAGGCTTTCCTGGTTCTCACCTATCTTCCCTTTTCAGAAACAGATCTCTGGTTCCACATACCCCTCCTGCCCCCCGAGAGACCCATTTGGTCCATAGGAGGTGACCAGGCTCCTGCTCATCTGGCCCCCTGCTAGGCCCTGGGGGTTTGGTAGGGGCTAGTGCTGGGCCTGGTTTCTGCTTTCATGGGACTGCAGGTCCAGGGGAGGCCATGGGTGATTGAGCTCTTGAGACAGTGATACACGGGGCACCAGGACGTGTGCGGGGCTTCTGGAGGGGCCCTAAGCTCTCTAGGAGGTTCAGAGCCCACATCCTGAGAAGCGGACATTTAAGATGAACCTGAAGGTTGTGGAGGAAACTGAGGGCTGGTGGGAGAGGAGCCGGGGCTGAGGAAGTGTGACCCCTCTGAGGGGCTCAAGGATGCTTCTGCGGCCAGAGTGTGGGAGGAAGAAGCAGGAATGAGGGTCCTGTGGAAGATTTTGGATCAGAGTAGGGCCAGGGAACGAGGCCAGATTCATGTCATAGAAAGAGCACAGACTGGAGGAGACAAGCATGGCAGGAAGACCAGTGAGAGGCAGGACTGGGAGATGGGGGCTTGGGCTCAGGTGGTGGCCATCGGGATGGAGATCCAGGACAGGCTGAGGAGGACGGCAGAGGAGGGAGGACGGGTACCGTCATGGATGACGTGAGGCTTCAGCGGAGAGAGGGAAATCAGTCCACTCAAGGGGCATATGCTGGCTGAGGCATATCTTGGAGATGTTCAAGTGTGATGTCCACTATGCTGAGGGGGTTGTGGGTATGAAGCTTGAGAGAGTGGACCATGCCTCAAACCTCTGGAAGGGCTAGGGATATAGCTCAGCGGCACAAGCACCTGCCTGGTAAGCTTAAGGTCCTGAGTTCGATTCCCAGTGCCCCCCAACAACAATGACAAAAAAATCTCTGGAAGGAATTCTCCTTCCCAAGGTGCTCGCTGAGCACCTGCTGCATGCCAGACTGTTGGCATTCAGGAGATTGCAGAGAGTAGGGCAGATGGGAATCACCATTCAAACCTCTGTTCTGAGAATGGGAGTTAGAAGCAACAAGCACTGGGAATAAGTGTGATTGTATTTAGTTCTGTGGAGCCGTGGCAGTGCGTAATAAGGGTTGGGGGAGTCAAGTTGGGGACAATTGTAAATGAAACAGTGAGTGCAGGCCTCGTTGAGAAGGTGACAGGTGGGTAATGACCTGGAGGAGGAGAGGGCCTGAGGGAGGAGGGCTCCACGTAGAGGGAGCGGCCAGGACTAAAGCTGCGGAACAGAAGTGAAACCTTTGTGTATTTGGGTCAATGAGGAGGCCCGTGCAGCCCGAGCCTAGGAAGGGAGGAGATGTGAAGCCATCAGAGGGCTTGGCGTATCTGTTTTCATCATTCTGGCTTCTGTGGAGGGAACACACTTGGGCCAATATGGCCATTGCAAGAGGCAAGAGATGACACTGGCTTGGGCCGGGGTGGTGACAGTGGCGTGGTGTGGTGGGTTCCAATATGTTCTGAAGGTAGCACCTAGATGGACTGGGCATGGATGAGGGAGAAAGAGAGAGAGTAAACCAGGGCCCCTGTCAGCAGTTCTGGCCTAAGTGACTGGCAGGCTGTGTCTCCTGCTTGCCCAGTGGGGAAGACAGGCGAGGGAGGTGGGCGCTGGGGCAAGGAGTTGAGTGCAGTGTCAGACATCAGGATGAAGACAGGGACAGGAGAATGAAGACAGGAAGGAACCTAGGCTGGGATTTTGCTTGGAGAAGACTCAGGCATTGGATCCTTGAGCTCCATATTTTTTTTTAGCCCAATATCCTGAGGGCCCCAAGTGGCCCAGGTCCCTATCTCCCTGGCATACCCTCCAGTCCCCTGCCCAGGTACCCCATGTTGGGGAGGAAAAAGGAGGGTCTGCCCTGTGCTAGGTAGCCAGAAGGTAGGGCTCTTAAGTTTAGGCCCAATGCTCCCTCAGGCCTGCTGCGATTGGAGGAACTGGTACGGGGTTTCCTCATCTCCAAGGAGACGCTGTCAGTGAGGATGCTAGACGACAGCCGGGACCCCACACCACTGCTCAAGGAGATCCGAGACGACAAAGTGTCCACTATCATCATTGATGCCAATGCGTCCATCTCCCACCTCGTCCTCCGGAAGGTGCGCCCCCCTCCATCATCTCTCATTCTTAAAAGAGCCAGGGAGCGGAAACCTGAATGACTGTCAGCAAGTCACCTAGTGGCCAGGGGCCGCAGTAGTGGGGAAAGGTCATCGGGATCCTCTTCTTATTTGCAGATGCTTTCATGATCAGAACAGTTGTCTGCCATCTTGGCCACTCCCTGACCCCGTAGGCCTAGAGGGCACCTCCTCTCTCTGTAAAGAGAGGCCGCTGGCAGTCCCTACCTCAGTGACTTGTCCTGAGAGTTAGTGAGTGAGTGGCAAGAGTAGCACTTAGTACGATGCTGGCCCGGGGTGAATGTGCCCAGGTCACAGCCATGAAGGGTGTTCTTGGGCTCTGTGTTGCGGTGCTTTGCATGAGTCCTTAATTTGTCTCTCAGCCTACCTCGTAGGGCTGGTGTCATAAGCATTCTGTGGGTGACTGGCTCACGGGCACACAAGGAAGGCCTGGAGCACTAGGGCCTTCCACTGCGGGCCTGGCACATTCTGTCTACCAGTGACCCCACTCATTAATCATTCATAAGCTTCTGTGCTCTTAGTTTTTCTTCATAATCAAATTGTATTATTTTTCTCCCCACTTTTTTCTTCTTTTAATTAAAACCATATATCACCCCTGATTGCAGCCCGTAGGAAAAAGCGTGAATGGGCTTTTGAGACAGGATAGCTTAGGGACCAGGTTCTGGGCTGGAAGCATGTCAGCCTGGGCAGGGGTCCCGGCTGTTTTGTCCTCTCCTAGCCTGACCTTCCGCAATGCCCACGTGGAAGAGCTCAGGTCCTGCCACTCAGCAGGTGGAAACTGGCACCTTGTAATGTTGCATCTCTCATGGAGGTGCAGATGGGGCACGGAGAAGTCTTCTAGCCTTGTTCTTCTCCATGACTGTGAGAGAGGGGGACTCCCAAAGTGAACCTTAAGATTTGAATTGGCTGTCTTTTCTTGAAGAGTACTTTTCTGGCGTGTGTGACCAGCCTGTGACCCACGTGATGGTAGCCCCTTTTGGGCCACGTGGAGGTTAGGGTTAAGGTTCCTGTCCTTGCTCACTGCGTCTCTCTCCAGGAGGAAATGTGAATGCTTTCGTGAAAGAGCCCCATTCTCTTCTCCAGCAGATCTATTTCCCTCACCCCTGAGCACCAGCCAGTGTGGTGGGGATACAGGGGACCAAGTCCCTCTGCCCTCACTTGCCTTTCTATCCCGATCATCTCTTACCGTTTCCCACTCGGTATCTTTTCATCAGGCCTGTCTCTAAGTCTCCCTTCCTCTCCTGAGCTCCCCGTCGTTGCCTGCCTCTCACACTGCCTCTTGGTCTCTCCTGTGTTCTCCAGGCCTCGGAGCTGGGAATGACCTCAGCATTTTACAAGTACATCCTTACCACCATGGTGGGTACTCCCTCAAGTCCCCGTCTCCCTGCCTCCGTGCCTGCCTTCTGTGAGGCCCTCACCGCCTCTCTCTGGTTCCAGGACTTCCCTATCCTACATCTGGATGGTATTGTGGAGGACTCTTCCAATATCCTGGGCTTCTCCATGTTCAACACCTCCCACCCCTTCTACCCTGAGTTTGTGCGCAGCCTCAACATGTCCTGGAGGGAGAACTGTGAAGCCAGCACCTACCCAGGCCCTGCGGTGAGCACACACCCAGTTACACTCAGAGACACACCGTGCAGAGCCACTTACAGGGGCTTTCAGATTCGATCATGCGCAGAACTCCCTGCACTTCCAGAGGCTTCATGGTACAGCCCTGGGTATATCTGACCCACGTTTCCTTCCTTTCCACTTACCATGCTGCTCCAGCCACGCCAGCTTCCTGCAGGTGCCTTGATGCCCCATGGACAGGTGCACCTCTACGCCTTTGCACGTGCTCTCCCCTCTGCTCCCATGCACTTCTCCACAGAACCATTGCCAGGCTTTTGCTCAAATGTACCCTTGGTTGTGGAGGACTCCTCCAGTATCCTGGGCTTCTCCAGACCTGGTCTTCTTGCACACGTAGTCTGGAAGAGCTGCTCCCACCACGGTATCGGCAACACATCTAGCTTCCCCACTGTCTCCCATGTGTACCAAGAAAGACCCCAGAACCTCTTGCTCCTTCCTGAGCCATTCCTGTGAAGAGAGTTGTCCAAAAGCTTGGGATAGCACCACAGGGGTACATGGGGGGTCTCTTGGCTAAGTCACCTCTTTCCCATCCCTCTTCACCCCACCTTTGCCCGCCCCCAGCTGTCTGCTGCCCTGATGTTTGATGCCGTGCACGTGGTGGTGAGTGCCGTCCGAGAGCTGAACCGCAGCCAGGAGATTGGTGTCAAGCCGCTAGCCTGTACCTCGGCCAACATTTGGCCCCACGGGACCAGCCTCATGAACTACCTGCGCATGGTGAGCCAGGAGCAAGGGAGAGTGGAGGGGCAGGGCAGTGGCCACCTCAGGTGGGGGCACTCACTGTGTCCACCCTGCTGCCCTCTGCCCTCTCCCCTCCCTTCATTCCCACCTGCCCCGGCCTCCGGGCTTCCTCCTTATTCTTGCATCTCATCTGTTCACGCTCACCGTCCTCTGCCTGTCTGGGCTGCATGCTGTCTTGGGTTCCTTGTCTGTTCTTTTGTGCCATCTGCCTGTGTTTCCTTGTGTGCTGTCTTCTCTATGACTGTGATTCTTCCTGGTCCCTCTCTCTGGTCCCCTCACCCCTGTCTTTATGCCTTTCTCTGGATGTCTGGTCCCCTCTGGGCCGTTCTGCCCATCTCTGGGCCCTGCCACCCCTCCCTCTGCCCCGCCTCCTGCCCTGCTAGGTAGAGTATGACGGGCTGACCGGGCGGGTGGAATTCAACAGCAAAGGGCAGAGGACCAACTATACCCTGCGCATCCTAGAAAAGTCTCGGCAAGGCCATCGAGAGGTGAGCAGGCTCAGGGCAATGTCAGAGCCCTGCTGGGATACGGCTGGGGTGGCCCAGAAGATACTGAGTCCCTTGGCAGGTCCTGTGCTGACAGTACTCTCTCTGCTCTCAGATTGGGGTGTGGTACTCTAACCGGACCCTGGCCATGAATGCCACCACCCTGGACATTAACCTGACACAGACGTTGGCCAACAAGACACTGGTGGTCACAACCATCCTGGTGAGTGGTCCAGGGGAGAGGAGAGGTCAGTAGGGCCTTCCGAGCAGGCCCAGCTTTGTCCTAGCTCCCTGTGATGTGCGCAGGCTAGCAGGGAACATGATTGATACATCCGGTGACCCAGATTGTGACCAAGGGCGGCATCACCATCCTTAACCACTGCCAGAGGAGGGGAGGGTACAGACTCTGTCATAGGAGCTAGTTCAGCCCCAGGCTCCTGGTCCGTGGGAGGTCCTCCATAATCATGATTGCTAGAATGGTCATTTGTCACACTTACCAGCCTAGTGTGCTGGTACATGCCAACTTGTGCAGTATCCATCCGGAAGAGGTGGAAGTGGAGGATCAGAGAGCTGAAACAACTAGCCTAGGATCACACGGCAAGTATAAGGCATAACCAGGACTAAAGCTGCGTCTCTAAGGCTCCGCAGCCTGAGTCTTTAAGTGCTGTGGTCTGAAGCTCCAGTCCTCTGCATACTTGAGCCCAGCTAAGGACATTGTCTGGTACCCCTGGGGCTGCCATTCCTGCATTTACAAAGTCAGAGAAGGAGGGCCTTTGGTGTGTCCACTGTTCATTCCGTACGTGCTCTGCACCAGGCAAGGTGTGAAGCCCTTACCAGGTGTTGCTCTTGAAACCTCACAGCCAGGGCTTGAGCTTGGCCTTGTTGTCCCCCTTTTGATGATAAGATGACAATCACAGAGACCCTCGTGGAGCCTGTGCTTTCGCCACTGTGTCCTGCTGCCTCCTGCCAGGTACTGTGGTCAGAGAGGTGGTGACATACAGGACCCAGGGAGCAAGTGACATGCACTTGCCAACAGCCTCACAGAGGGGCCCTGAGCGCTGCGCTGGCTAGGGGCAGCTGACACCTCTGCATGTGGTGCACGGTCAGTCCCTGAAGCCTCCTGAAAGTCCTTGGGCTCATTGGTGGGGAGCAGGGTGCAGAAGTCGGGGAGAGGTGATCAGGGGAGTGAGTCCCTTTCTCACGCTCTTCTCCCTTGCTCCCCAAGGCCCAAGAGCTAAGGTTCTTCTCTTCATGAGATTCATTCTTCTCTTGATGGATTGGTTCACTCATTCATTCTGCTAATATTTACTAAAGCTGCTGTGTGCCTGGTCTTACACAAATTCTGGAGGCACAGAAATGAGTCACAGGTGCTCTCAAGTGGCCCTGGGGGAGGTGATCCCTGCCTGATGGAGGTGACGCACCTGGACATAGTCATTGTCACCCAGGGTAATCAAGGAGTTCCCGGAGAAAGGAGGAACTGACTCTGCTTTAGAGGCCCAAGAAGGGCCTTGTGGTGGAGGTGGCGTTAGGCAGGGTTTTAAAAATTGCGCATAGAGAACATCTCAGGCAGCAGGAGCCGGGGCTCAGGAAGTGTTTGTCAGCTCAGCTGGGGAGGCAGGCAGGCAGCCTTGGTGTGTGTAAGTCAATGTGCTGCATTTCATTCAACGGATATCTTTTCCTTTATCTTCTACAGTAGTGGGGTTGGAACCCAGGGCTTTCTGTGTGGTAGGCAAGTGCTCTGCCACTGAGCCACACCCAGACCCTTCATCAGCATTTTCTGACGTGGGTTTTGGGGCAGGGCTTGTGTCAGGCACTTGGGGATTGATGCGAACCATACGAAGTACCTGGGCTGGCATGGGTCAGGACTCTTCTCAATTCTCTGTTCTGCCTAAGGGCCTAGAATGGTGCCTGATACCTGCCAAGCAGAGAGAAGACATGGCATGTGAGAAGTGTTGGGACACATGGTCCGGGGGCCAATAACTTCCCCTCCTGTGACAGCAAGGGCAAGGGTCTTTGAGGGTCTTTACACCTGCACTTTACCTTCGAGTAGGAAGGAGCAGGGCCAGGGGCTATCAGGAAGCTCTTGGCCCATAAGGAGAGGAGAGGAGAGAAGGTCTGGGTGGGAGAGCATGGAGGAGTCCTGTGAGGATGTCAAGAAGCAGCGCAGTCAGGGTGAGGTGGCCGCGGGGCTGGCCAAGTGAGGGGGCAGAGGAGGAGTTCATCTGATGGGTATGGGCTGGGACTGCTCCTGGGACGGGGCTGACAGCTCTGGAGCTGGGAGAGGGCACTCTGGTTTCGAAGTTGAGAGAGGCCAGAGGGGCAGGTGAAGGTGCAGAAATCGCAAGGAGCTGAGAGCATGCAGGGGCCTGCCCTCCTCAGCCCAACCTCAAGCACACAGTCAGTCCTGATGACTCCCGTCCTCAGGCTGTGACACCTTGCCTTGCTCCTTCAGCGGCTGGCATGGCCGTATGAGTGCCTATTGCGGGGTAGGCAGACCTCAATTTATTCTGGGCCCCTAGTTCAAATCTCTAACTACAGCCTCCACACCTTCATCTGTAAAATGGGTCCAGTGATGTACTTGGAGGAGCTGCAGAAGCAACGAAGGCACTGAGAGCCCCAGCAGTACCAGCTGGAAGGCATGCTGAGTGCTCACGGGTGCCCTGCCTCCCCAGCCTTATCCTTGATGAGCATAGCAGTCACGGTGGCCGACACTCCTGGGCTCTTTGCCGTTGTTACTTAGTCCTCACTGCATCCCTCAGGTCAGAGCTTTAGGACCCTGGTTTTCAGAGGAAAAAACTAAGGTACAAGAGGGTTAAGTGACTGCTGAAGGTCACCCAGCTAAAGGTGGGCAGGGCCAGTTTGAGTTGGCACAACCTATAGATCCATCCTTTGTGCCACATTGCTTTCATTTCTGCTCCTTCCTGAGTCCTTGAGGCTGTTGTCTGAGCTTGGCACTGCCATCTGCATATTGTGTGACCTGAGCACACAGGTCTCCTGCCTGTCCTCAGTTTTCTCTTTTAGTGATAGCGTTAGAGTATTCGTAGCAGAGTGAGGCAGTTGGGAGAGAGCGGAGTCACATAAGCTGCACTCCGCGAAATCATGGGCCTGGATTCGGGTCCCGGGTTCATGAAAGGCAGTCAGCTTGTGAGGATGTTCTAGAAGCCATCCTCCTTGGATTTTTTAAAGACATCATCATCATCATCATTATTATTATTATTGTTATTATTTTGTGCTGGGGATTGAATCCAGGACCTCAAACATGCTGGCCAAGTATTCTACCACTGAGGTACACACCAAGCCTTAAGAGATTTTTATTGAAGTGTAACGTGCGCATAGAATCTTGCACAGATTGCTAATTATTTCTTGCTGAATTTTCCAAAACTGACCACATATATGTAGCCAACCCTCCACTTCTGAAGCCTCCTTGCCCCCTTCCATTCACTAACTTGCCCAGAGGAACTGCCATCTCAGTGTATAGTACCGCAGAGTCACTGAGTGCCCCCTCCCCTTTTTTGATAATGGAACAGGGGTTGAACCCAGAGCCTTCACACGGAGCTACATCCGCAGCCCTTTTTGTGTTTTATTTTGAGATAGAGCCTCACTAAGTCACCAAGTTGCCTAGGCAAGGCTCAGAACATCCAATAACTTCTGCCTCAGCCTCCCAGAGTGCTGGGTTTACAGGCGTAGGAAACCAAGCCTAGCTCTGCGCCAGCCTTTGTCATCGAAGTGGCATCATACCACAGTATATGTTCTCTTTCTCTGGCTCCTTTTGCCTGACATTATGAGAGTCACCCATTTTTTGCATGTGATTTACTTTCATCCTTACACATTCTATGTTGTGACTGCATCTACAATTTACTTATTCATCACATGTAGATGGACATTGGAACTGTTTCTCTGTGGTTTTTTTTTTTTTTTTTGCTGTTATAAACAGTACTACCAGAACAGTCCATGCCAGTGGTGGTGAACCTATGGCACGCGTGTTATTTTTCGTTTAAGATAAAAGATGTTAATGTGTGAGGTTTTTTTTCTAAACTAAAACCTCAGTATTGAGGCTTAATTGCCTGTTGGCACTTTGCGATATATAAATGGGTTTGGGGTTGCAGTTTGGGCCCTCGTGTCTGAAAGGTTCACCATCCCTGTCCTGTGCCCTCACTTTCGGGGAACTTGCATTGGTGTTTCCACTGGGTGTGTTTCAGAGAGCAGGACTGTTGGTTGCAGGTGTCGCTTAGCTTGAGTAGATGCTGCTGAAGCACTTTTCACTGTGATTGTCCTACTCCATTCCTCTCAGCAGTGTGTCATTGAGAATTTCATTTGTTTTTCATTTTCCCCAGTGGTGAGTGTATAAAGATACCAAGATACGGCAGTTTTCATTTTCATTTGACCAGCTTTTTGTGTTTATTGACTATTTAGAAGTCCCCTTTTGGGAAGTTCTTGCTCATGAGTTTTTGTATTTTTTTAAAAACTGGGGTATATGACCTTTGTATTGATTCTGGAGTTGTTTATACATTCTAGATATACTTCCTTTGTCGTTGTATGCATTGACACTCCCTTTGTGGCTTTCCTTTTCACTCTCAGTTGTATAATTTTATAAAGTGACTGGAGTTTTAATTTTACTAAAGTTCACTTAGCAGCTTTTTTCCTTTGTGGTTAATACATATAGAATTGAAAAATCCTTTCCCTACCCCAAGTTCAGAAAGATAATCTATTTTTTTTTCTTTTTTGTGGTGCTGGGGATCAAACCCCGGGCAAAGCACTCTACTACTGAGCTATGTCTCCAGCCCCTTTTACTATTTGTTTTCTGAAAACTTAATAATTTTTCCTTTTACATTTAAATCTCCAGGCTGCCAGGTGTGGTGGCGCATGCCTGTAATCCCAGCACTCAGGAGGCTGAGGCAGGAGGATCACTACAAGTTTGAGACCAGCCTGGGCTATAAAGTGAGCTCAAGGTCAGCCTGAACTGCATAGCAAGACCCTGTCTCAAAAATAAATAAATAAATAAATAAAATTTTAAAAAATCTGCAGCCGGGCATGGTGGTACATGCCTGTAATCCCAGCATTCTGGGAGGCTGAGGCAATTCCAGCCCACTCTGGGCAACTTAGTGACTTAGTAAAATCCTATCTCAAAATAAAAAAAATTAAAAAGGAGTTGGGATGTAGCTCAGTGCAAAGACCTTGAGTTTAATCTCTGATTTGCAGTAGGGGTAGGAGGGATTTTTAAAATGTACAATCCAGCTAGAATTGTCTTCTATGAAGTAGGGAGTAGGGTTCAAAATACATTTCTTTCATATGGATGTTTAATGGCATAGCACCATTTATTAAAACAACCATTTTTCCCTCTTCCCTGGAGTCTTACCTTTGCTGGAAATCCATATCCATTTCAGTGTGGATTTGCTAACCCTCCACTCTATTGTCCATTTGTCCTTCTTTAATACCATGGTGTCTTAATACCATAGGTTAAATTAAGTGTTAGTAGGTGGGGTAAATCTACCAATTTTGATGTTCTTATTTAGGATTCCTTTGGCTCTTCTTGGTCTTGTGCATTTCCATATACTTTCGTTTTCTTTTTGTCTTGTTTTTTAGACAGGGTCTTGCTATATAATTTAGGTTGGCTTTGAACTCACTATGTAGCCCAGGCTGGCTGTAAACTCATGGGGCTCCTCCTGCCTCGGCCTCCCAAGTGCTGGGATTACAGGTGTGCACCACCATGCCTGGCTTATTTCCATATACTTTTAAATATCATTCTTCAGTTTTTAAAAATTCATGGCATCGGGAGATAATATAAACCTAGGTAGACTAGAAATCAAAGGGTAAAGGGGGTAAGGAGAGAAAAATCCGGCTCCTTTCCCCCGTCCCTCATTTTCTTTTCCCACAGGATACTGTCATTCCCGAAATGTCTGTGCATGTGCAGTCACATCCCTGCTCTTTCTTCCACAGAGAATACCATATTGCACACATTGTTCTGTAGCTTGTTTTTTTCCCTCTTAATATATCTTATAGACTTTGCTATTTTCGTAGTTGCCTGGGATTCTTTTATGACATCGATGATCTCTTTAACTTGTCCCAAATTAGGTTGTTTCACTCTTTGTTCGCATCGTGAACACTGCTGCAATGATTTTCTTGGGCCTGGATTTTTGTCACTGGGAGGATGGATTCTTAGAGTCTGACTTAGTAGTGTTCCACTGCCTGTCCACAGTGTTGGGCTGATTAGAGGCTCCTTAAAGACCTTTGGTTGTGAGGGCCCAGTGCTCTAAATTGAGTCCTAGATCATCGCTTTTAGATCCCAAGTTCTGTATGAGACCCAGTCTCTGTTTTTGTTTGTATAAGCTCAGGTCCTGATTGTGAGACCTTAAACCCAAGTTCCTGAGTTTTGAATTTGGAGACTGCTTGGCATAGTGGAGGGAACAAGAGCTTCCGTGTGTACGGAAACAGGCTTGTGCATTTCAGCTCTGCCCCATCTCCCACTGCCCTGCTTTAGCTCTCTGGCCTCGGGCTGGGCACTTTACCTCCTTAAGCTTTGGTTTCCTCCTCTTTATCAAGAGAGCTGGATGTGGCTGGACATGGTTGGCACATGCCTGTAATCTCAGCATGGGAGGCAGGGGAAGGGGTCGCAAATTTGAGGCCAGCCTGCACAACTTAGTGAGATCCTGTCTCAAAAGAAAATTTCAAAAGGGGCTGGGGACATAACTAAGCACTCCTGGGATTCACTCTCCAGAAACACACACACGCGCGCACACGCATACGCTCACACAGGGCTGTATGAGAACCTTTCAGCTCCAGCATGGGTGCTTGGCTCAAAGAGTCTTTTTTTTTTTTTTTTTTTTTTTTTTTT